GGGGAGTGATTAACCCCTCGGGAAAACTCGAACAAAAAAGATAAACCTATCAAACTTTATATCATTGAAATATTGAAAGCAGCAAAAGCAGAGCTATTCAAACGTTAATTAATATATAGGGTGTCCAGTGTCCCATCAAACCAATTGGACTCTGGTTAATATCTCGAATTCGGGAATAAATAGAAAAAAAACTGAGAAAGTCACTGGATTCCCTAGTCACAATTGTCACAAAACGGTTCACAATATCATAATGTTTGAGCCTCAGAGTGGTGGTTGATTTTTTTGTATCTCGCTCAGAAAATAACGTTTTTCTCCAAACGTCAGAAAAACGTCACTTTGTTAACTCCTGTCAAGATGTCAGAAATTTGATTTCTATGCTGCTAGGCAAATCCAGCGGGTTAACACCTGTCGAGGTGGTAGAAATTGAATTTCTATGCTGCTTGGCAACCCCAGCGGCAGCAAAAGTACTTTTAGTGCCGCTCGTACTTTTACTGCCGCTCAACCATTCACTTGCCCCCACTCACCCCAAACGAATGGGGTGAGCCCAATTCGTTTGGAGAAAAAATAGCGTGTTGCATACGCAGTAGAAGCACTTTTTTGTGCTTCAGCAGTATTGCGAGCCTCACTACGTTCGGCTTGCAAACCTACCGCTTCAGCACAAAAAAGTAAAGCTTCAACTCCTAATACAACAATATACTATTTCTATCAAAAGTGTCCAAATTGGACAACCCTGCACATATCAGAAAATAGAAAATAACAAATAAAAATACCTATTCCAAAAAAAATATAGGACATTTATACATCTGATAAAAACAAAACGATAAATTGAACAATAGTGTAGCTTGGACAATTTTCCTAAAGCATTTTATTGGACAATTTTTCCATGAACTCTTATTGGAAAATTCTTTTATAATATTTTTCTATCTATGATTTTTAAAAAAAAAAAATAGTTTTTGAGGCTCTGAGCTGTATCCGCGACTGCGTCGGGTATACCCCTGCAATGCTAAACAATCAAATCTAGAAACCCTTTTCACTGTAGGTCAAAGCCTGGGTCGTCAGAGAATATCTGCCCTGATAGAGATACGATATAGTTATTTACATTCCAAGCTGCGAAGGTATACTTTTAGGTGCGAGGTGTATTTAAATAGCCGAGGCAAAGCGGAGCGCAGCCGAGGCTATTTGAATATCTCCGAGCACCTAAAAGGACTTTTGCAGCGTGTAATGTATCAAACTTTTCATTCTTCCCCCGACTTTATTTAAAACCATTCAAGTTATAAAACACACAATGCTGAAAATTTTCTGAGCCTAACGCGGTTTATTGCCATAACAATATTGCAGTGGCGGCTATTCAGGTGCATTAGGTGAAGTGCCACTTCACCAAAAAAAAATAAAAATAAAACCAAAAAATATGTACAACTAATATTCAGTTTTTTCCAGCCGCCACTGAAAAAAAAGTAGAATGACCACAGTTTTGACGACAGTTGTTAAAGTTAACGTTACTTTGGTAACCTTCGTGTCAACAAAAAATATATTGACAGTTTTCAAATAAGTATTATTTTTCAATATAAAGTTGATGAGTACGTCTCTTTAAGTTCAATATTTGGCTAAAATTTAGTTAAAAATGATTTCCATTGAAAAGGCAGCAATTATCGCGTGTAAAAGTTTGTTACCGGACAAATCCAAAGACCGTTACATTACAATCAAGCCTATGAAAATTTTATCAAATGGTGTACAACGAAAGATGTGTCTACAATAATGCAAGATGACGTTGCTTTGGAATAGGATTTCAATCAGCTTTGCTGTTAAATCTTTCAGGAACATAGAACAATTGCAATTTCACATTTAATTTCCAATCTTAATAAATATTTGATATTACTAATTATTTGACGTTTTTATTTTTTCGTCGTCCAGGGCACGAAAGTTTTTCATACCTAGCAACCGATGACCTAGCATGTTTTACTTTCGCTTTCGCTTGCATATTCAAGATAAAAAAGTGGATTTTCGTAGGGGGGAGAATGAAATAGTATTTTACATTATTAGCCAGGTAAAACAGTTTTTACTGGCGATTGAAGGAAATGACTAGCGAGCCGCCAGGCGAGCTTGTCACCTTCAAGAGCCAGTAAAAACTGCTACCTGGCGTATAATGTACAATAATTTATTTGTTACTCATTTGTAAAAGATATAGGGACAAATAAAAAATCAATACATAACAAAAATTTGAAATTTATATGTTTTTCCTTGATTTTTTCTCACAGAAGTTTTGGTAGTTGGTATAACTATGAGAATGATACGTTGTTAAGACGTTGTTTCTAGTTATAAATAGGTTTTTTGACAGATTTCCATTTTGCAATTTTTTTCCAGAAATGAATTTATTACAAGATATTATTAATGAAGCCTCAGTCGTAGTCTTTGGTCGTAGCCAACAGTTTATCACCAGAAAAGTCTCCCAGAAGGTACCTACAAGCAATTATTCTTGTGATAAAACCGATTTTTCAAAAATAAATAATTCTACTGACTTGTAAAAAGTTTTTACAGTTCAGCTGTCAATTTTACAAGTCAGTAGAGCCAGTAGCTTGTAAAAATCAATTTTCGCTGGTTATGTTTTGACTTGATAAGTGACGTTTTACAAATGAGTGACAAATAAACGTATTAACTTTATCTGTCCAGATAGCTCCCCAACTTTGAGTCGTCTCTAAACACCTACTGATTGCAGCGAAGCGCTGAGACACGACTGATTTGCCATAGTGTGGCTAGTGACTTTTATATCCCATTTTTGCTGACTATAATTAGGTCAGCTATTTGTTGTAGCCCGTGGGCTGGTGTATCTAATTTGACTGTAGCCCATGGTCCTATGGTTGACAATATACCGAGCTTACTTTTATAGGCAAAAAACTTCTTAAATTCGGCTCTGTAATGAAAGAGCGCTGCACAAAAGAGCGCTGTTACAAAAGAGCGCTGTAACTAAAGAGCGTTGTAACAAAAGAGCACTGTAACAAAAGAGCGCTGCACAAAAGAGCGCTGCAAAAAAGAGCGCTGTAACAAAAGAGCGCTGTAACAAAAGAGCGCTGTAACAAAAGAGCGCTGTAACAAAAGAGCGCTGCACAAAAGAGCGCTGTAACAGAAGACCGCTGTAACAAAAGAGCGCTGCACAAAAGAGCGCTGTAACAAAAGGGCGCTGTAACAAAAGAGCGCTGCACAAAAGAGCGCTGTAACAAAATAGCGCTGCACAAAAGAACGCTGTAACAAAAGAGTAACCAAAGAGTAACCCAAACTGACCCATCCTCAGGATGCGACCCAATCTCTGTTTCCGATTTTCATCAAATTGCTCAAACAGAAAATGAATACAAAATAACCCAATCTAACCCAAACTAACCCTTTCTCGCAATGCGACCCAATCTCTCTAATTGCTCAAACAAAAAATGAATAAAAATAACCCAATCTAACCCAAACTAACCCGTCCTCGGAATGCGACCCAATCTCTGTTTCTCAATTTCGTCAAATTGCTCAAACAGATAAGGATACAAAATAACCCAATCTAACCCAAACTGACCCGTCCTCGGAATGCAACCCAACCTCTGTTTCTGAATTTCATCATATTGTTCAAACAGAAAGTGAATACAAAATAACCCAATCTAACCCAAACTAACCCGTCCTCGAAAAGCGACCCAATATCTCTGTTGCTTAATTTCGTCAAATTACTCAATCAGAAAATGAATACAAAATAACCCAATCTTACCCAAACTGACTCGTCCTCGGAATGCGACCCAATCTCTGCCCTTTTTTTCTTAATTCATCTTTTTGAAATTCAGACAGCGCTGTTTTGTTACAGCGCTCTTTTGTGCAGCGCTGTTTTGTTACAGCGCCCTTTTGTTACAGCGCTCTTTTGTGCAGCGCTCTTTTGTTACAGCGCCCTTTTGTTACAGCGCTCTTTTGTGCAGCGCTCTTTTGTGCAGCGCTGTTTTGTTACAGCGCTCTTTTGTTACAGCGCTGTTTTGTTACAGCGCTCTTTTGTTACAGCGCTCTTTTGTTGCAGCGCTATTTTGTGCAGCGCTCTTTTGTGCAGCCCTCTTTTGTTACAGCGCTCTTTTGTTACAGCGCTCTTTTATTACAGCGTTCATTTGTTACAGCGCTCTTTTGTGCAGCGCTCTTTCGTTCCAGAGCCCTTAAATTCCATTTTATTCTGGGTACCAGATATAGTTACTACGACTATAAGGGATGAAATTTACCACCAGTAGAATAATGTTCATTCATAATAACGGAAAGATGAAACGCCAATAGTTTACAAGACCTTATTAGCAAAGTCTATTAGATTGGTTCTCTTTAGATCTAATCTCATCAAAGCAATCCTATTCTAAAATATATTTAAAAATGCTCTTTTCGTAGCTGCGACATAAACGTGGAAAGTTCCAGATTTATCTCATTGACCTACATTATTTTTCAACATCAATTTTAATTATTTTTTTTAAAAAAGAACTATAGCCATGTTGATGCAAACGTTTCATCTCCAGCTTCTCTACTAAGGCAAGTAGTAGAAGAAGCAAGAAACCAACACTCTTCTTCGTTAGATTCGATTTTAAAATGAAAATGAGTACCTAATTGATAATGCTTGTAACCACTAAATTCGCTTTGACGCCGCTCATTTCTCCGCTTTAGTGTAAATGAAAATAAATGAACTTTCCGTTTCACGCAGTTTCCACGTCGTTACGTTCCCGCGGTCCTCGATTGTATGAGTGATCTTGTTTATTTTTTTTTAACCTCCAGCTTCAGATTGATTAGAATTGATTCGTATTTATTTGGGATAAAAATTGGTTTGATCAATGCCTTTGATGGAGCTATACAGTGTTGTTACTTTAATGAAATTTAGTGAAAATATAGTAAAAATTAGTTTTACTTCTTCCCAACCATCTCTAATAGTTTTCGAGAAAAAAAATCAATTTTTCCATGGAAAACAATAAGTTAAAAAGACGTCGGTCATTGAATTATCAATACACAAGCCAGTGCGTAGGTATTATATATTCAACTTTGAAGTTCTCTTACAATAACATAATAACAATAGCCCACTTAAATTTGTGGTACTCCAACACATTTTGCAAATTTGCCTACAATATCCAGTCCTTGGGTTGGAAGTTGGGCCAAATTTGTAGTGTAACACAGCCCCACTTTGGGAATCAATGTATTAATCAATAAAACAGTTTTTCCTACATCCGCAGCAATTTTCAAAGGAACGTCGACGGTGTCTTTGGCCATTTCGGCGCTTAGATGTGCCAAACATTTTACTTCCTTCCAAATTTTGCCTTTGCAATCATGAATTTTGTTGGTATAATTCGCCATCCTCTGTTCGATTTCGTGTAAATGGTTTAGAATATCATCTACGTAACCGGTAGCTTTGAATATTTGATCCGTCATGCATTCTACCATATTATCCCCAAGATTATTTGGTAGATTGGTAAGGTCGTCAATATAATGTTCGCAGTCAGTTGTGTTTGCTCCTGGAAAAAAAAAATATTTAAATTATTATCATTTGTTGAAATGTTCATGATTCTGGAAAAAAAAAAATACCAGAAACACCATAGAAATCAATAAATACCAAAAATTGATAAAAATGTTACGAATAGGTAAATGCAGATCCACCGGAAACTATCCTCTTCAATAAACTAGGAGGTCAAGAAGTATTCTAGACATTCCTAAAGAATGTTTTCAAGTCAGCTGTTTGTAGACTAGTTAGCCAAGTGCAGAAGTACGGGAAAAGGAATAAGTTATTGTGCTTAGTTAAATTGAATAGAGATTAGAAAGTAATTTAAGAGTTGAAATAAAGGTGTCATCATAAATTCTAACTTATTATAAACGTAAAATTTCGTATCGGAAGCAGTAGAAGGATTTAGTGAAATATTCGAACTTCTTCCTGGACTTACTAAAAGACCATTGTGACTGCGCTGTGTAACATTGTTCTGGAACGTGACTTCAACAAAACTTGAAATCTTCAGAAATAGAAAACATTACAAAATTGAAGAAAGGGACATAAAATAATGTCACAATCAAGGTCTCACTCAACAACAAGAAACCCAGGAAAATTACTATTAGTTAACAAAGCCTTTTTGACTTGTCTTTGATAAAAATTAAAAAGTAAAGTAAAAATCTTTTCATTTGACTTAGTTACTAATTGAAACTTATTATAAAAATCTAAATCTTACCAAGTTTTTTAGCTTCTTCCAATAATTCCTTTAGCTTAGCATTGAGAGGCTTCATAGCTAAATCAAAAGCGTCATGAGCTTTATCTTCTAACTTAGTTGCAGTTGCATTTACTGTCTGTACGGCTGCTTTCAAAGAAGCAGAAGCTTCATCTAACGCTTTGTGAATGACTGCCATGAGTTTTACAAAGACTTTTTCAGCTACATCGGCTGCATCTTGGATTTCAGCTGCTTTAGATTCAGGCTTAGCGTGAATGATGAGGGCCTGAAAATGGTATGATAAGAAAATCAGCTATAAACTGAAAATTACTTACTTGGGCCAAAAACAAAGTGCAAAAGGTGGCGAAAATTTGCATATTATTCATGTTTAGAGTAGAAAAGTCAACGACTAGATACTGACAAATAGAAAATGTGTAGATTGCTTTGTTGAAGTGATTCTTTATATTTGAAAATTGATCAAGTACTTATTGATAAACATTTTTTTGTAACAATTAGTGCACTGATGGCATGCATGCATGGCACACCATACAATCTATCCTCTTGTATATACAGTCCGTCGATTTTAATCTGATACTCCAAAGGAATGTGAGCTGGTAGCTTCCTACGTTAGAACGCCAATGATCACTTGACGTCACACCTGTTTTGTTTGCCATAATGCTTCACCATCTCGCTCCTCATACGGTCTGTCTTCTTGACCGTAAAATGTGTCCCTCTTTGAAAGGTGTGATTTTTTTTAAATGACTGAAAATCCTGCAAAAAATCTCAATCGACATGTTTTTGCGTTTTGTCTACATAAGGGAGTTTTCGTTGAAATTAATGGTAAATTAATTTTTCTATTTCACTTTTCACATTTTGAAGTTTCCATCTTACTTGTAGGGGAGGTTGGGGTATTAGCGCAGTCCGGGAAATAGCGCAGATTCAATTTTTTGGACACCTGTGACTCTTGGCATTATAGCTTTATTGCCCAAGGAGGGGTATTGAGGAACACCGATCAGTGCATTACCAATTGTTAATGTGAACACGATCGTTTAAGATTAAAAAAATTATTTGTAAAACTACACGAGAAAAGTTTTTTTTTTAGTGATATTTTCTTCTGTAATTTAGTGGTAAGTACCCTTCCTAATTTAGTGCACTCCTAGTTACAATTAATTTATGTCCTTGTGGTCCAGAACCAAACCTATTTTTTGTATAGTTTTGTATCAGGTTGCAGTTGGCAGCTTTTCAAAAAAATTACGTAATCGGGGAAATAGCGCAGTTATCGTGTTGGGGCATTACCGCATATGCGCTACTACCTCGATAGGTAGGTAGTTCAAAGGAATTTATTTCAGATGCCATGAACCGACAAGAAAAATAACGTTAAAAGTCAATGGGAGTTAGCAGACCTCAGAAAAGCTGTCCAAGATGTCACGTCAAACAAATTGAATTATTATTTTCTGTTTATCGGCAATTAATCCAATAATAAGTTTTATTAGTAAGGTTTTATTAATTGTCGACAGATTTTTCCGAAATAAAGAATTTAATTTTGAAAATGTTGTGTTTTATTTATAAAATCTATTGCTACTTGTTACTTTGTCGTATGGGGCAATAGCGTTACTGTGCTGCGCTATTACCTCGATAAGTAGGGGTGATAGCGCAAATACAGATTTTTCATTTTTGAATGATAAACAAAACAAAACAAAAACTTTCCAAAGTTTTGCATTTGGAGCATGAAAGTATATAAAATTAGTAACAGATAACAAGAAAAATAGTTATTTTCCTAACAAGTGCGGAAAGTGATACTTTCCCGCACGAGACTGCCGTTGACTGCTTGCCCGAACTCCGCTTCGCGTCGTTCGGGTCAACGGCAGTCGCGTGCGGGAAAGACACTTTCCGCATGAGTAAGGAACATTATTTTTTCTACGAGCGCGTTCAAATATAAAAAGAAAAATTAAGTAAATTCAAAGCGATATATTATTGCAGAAATCGTTCAATTACAATAGTTATTTATGTATCAAGGGTACTAAGTAGATGATTATGCCCTGAAGGCGACAGTCTTACAAAGCCGATTGCCTCTGGCCCGAGGGTTCGTAACCGCCCGAGGGTTTATATATCTATTAGTACTCGTGGTACATACAAACTTTTATGTCATACCAGTTGTTTGTGAATAATAAATATATATATATAGAAAGCCTTCCAAAGAAAAATACATATACAGGGTGTCCCACGGTGGATGGCGTATTAGACGTTTATGGAGAACTAAAAAGCGGATCATTTTGAAAATTTGGCAACCGGGATAAACGACCATGATCTACAATTTAAAAATATTTTTGATCATGCGGTGTTGCCGCTTCTACACTAAACTAGTGGCAACATCACTATTTTAAATGGAATACCCCGTATGTGATTGCATATTTGGATTCTATGTAAATTTCTGAGCAGATTTCATGTGATATACCCTATACCTAAGTTCAACTGTTTTGGAAATATTGACAGTTGAAAATTGACTTTTTGCAAATTTGACAGGCTGTAAAACCTGAACGGTTAATTTTAGAGGAAAACCGATTTTACATTCCTGTCTTAGATTTTTATAAACTATCATTTTACACCAACTTTGAATATAATCCATGATTAAAAATTTCAGTTAAATTTAATCTCCGGTTAAGGTCAAAGTTGGTGTCAAATGATAGTTTATCAAAATCTTAGATAGGAATCTGAAATCGGTTTTCCTCTAAAATTAACCAATCAGGTTTTACAGCCTGTCAAAGTTGCAAAAAGTCAATTTTCAACTGTCAATATTTCCAAAAAAGTTGAACTTAAACATATATATATATCACATGAAATCTGCTTAGAATTTTACATAGAATCCAAATATGCAATCACATACAGGGTGTTCTATTTAAAATAGCGATGTTGCCACTAGTTTAGAGTAGAAGCGGCAACACCGCATGGTCAAAAATATTTTTAAAGTGTAGATCATGGTCGTTTATCCCGGCTGCCAAATTTTCAAAATGATCCGCTTTTTAGTTCTCCCTAAACGTCTAATACGCCATCCACCGTGGGACACCCTGTATATACAAAGTACCTATATATACAAGTAGCATATATATAAAGTAGCATTTCGCGCACGGCGTCATGGGAACGTTAAAAAAACCATACCTGTATACAATGTCAAAAAAAATTATAAAATTTTTGAAAGATCCACAAATCAGATTAATATATGGATTGAAATAGTATGCAGACAAAATTGATAAAATGTTTAATTAATTAACAAAACTGACACTTCTGAACGCCACTTTCCCGCACTAGCGCACAAAGTGATAAAAAATGCACGCTCGTAGAAAAACCAATTTTTATCTCAAAAATCCTTTAATTTACAAGCGATCAAAATTCTACCTGCGCTAATACCCCGACCTCCCCTATACTTACCTACCTAAATTCTGTTTTTTTTTTTTAAAGACAAAACCCCATATCAAAAATCTAGTAAATATGTTGGCAACACAAGCCTTTTCTACGTGAAAAAATTGGAAGCATTGACAGTTTCACATTGTATTGCCAACATAATGTAATTTTGACTTTTATCTTTAATAAAAAAACAGATTTTAAGTACCTTTTAAATACATTGTTGATCAAATCACCGTTTGCCTCGTGTTTCCGATTAAAGATTATTGCAATTATTATAATTGAGATCTTCTTTTCATGCCGTCTTCTTATTGAAGGTTGACGACCACGTTTCTGAATGCGTCTTTGTTTCTTGCAACATAGAACAGTTATTCGACGCTAAAATTTGTCCATTTTCTCACGTTTCGGAGCCAGGATTTTTTTCTTCCTGCCGATACCCTCTACTCTAACCTGCATAATTTTTGTAGCAGTGGGTATTTATAGTTGCGTATTGTAGGTAGTTGTATGTCCTATAGGCCCTGCGATCTCTTATTGCCAGTAATAAACCACATAATAACTCTTTTCCGTTTTTCTAGATGTCGCTGACAACAACAGAATTGTAAAATACCAGCACATCAAGACCACGTCCGATGTCGATAACATTGACATGAGATTGACATGTCAAAATATGGCAATATGCCAAAATATTCATTTGATCATAACGATCATAACTAATAATTCATAATGTTTTTCGTTCGCCGGTCTTGCATTTCGTCTTTCTTTGTGTTGTCAAGTGTTTCTAAGTGATTTCAAAGTAGTTTTGTGTGTTTCACGAAGACCTTCAAACTTTATAGATTGGAAGATCTATTTTTATCTCTGTTGATTAGATTAATGACAGGTTCAATTAAACATCAATCAGAAATTTGAATATGTTAAGAATATCCTTAACCATCGATAAAGGAACTGTCTTTTGATCTAATTAACAAAACATTATTTAATTTAAGCAAACAATAATGACCCAAAGTCTAGAATAAACAATTTTCAACAGACCGACTGTAATGCGAACAGAGCGCCATCTATCATAAAAATGCCTTGAAGCCCTATGTAAAGTAGGTGTCTGTAGCGTCGATGCAAAACCAGTAAATAGTGAGTTTCCGATATGGTAGATGGCGCTGGCTTGGCTCAATTTTGTTGACAACAAAATTTACATTGAGATTCCATTCTCGACAGTTTATATAGTATTTATCTCTGTGTCCTATGTACGATGCTTTACTTATCTTAATGAGTTTCAACAGTTTTCTCTTGTGACCAATATCTCTTAGTATAGTCTAAAGAGCCAGGGCCGAAAAATTTCTCTGAATTTACTAAAGCCACTTTTTGAACAGTTGATTACAATAGTTATATACCATCGTCACCGAAAGTATCTGGGACAAAAATAATTCATATTAATCTCCTGGGCTAATTTCAACATCATGCATTTTAATGCATTTAATTCATAGTTTGACAAATATTTTACACTAAAATTATATAAAAGTACAAGAGCCAATATGATGCAGTCCCAGTAACTTTTGGTGACGATGGTACATGAATATAGCGCGGTCAGTCAAGCGAAACTTGGGACAAGGACCTAGGGTGTCTTGTTAAAGTTGTCCAGATAACTTAGGTAGGTAATTCAACGAATTGACTAAAGCTGAAAATCGTTATACATATCGTCGTTAATTTGACAAAGGGACGTGTATGAGAAATAGGCGATTTTTCGTTTTCAGGGAATTCATGTCGCAAAACATCAAATTTATACGCCCTCTAATTGGCGAATATGAACTGCCAGTAGTTTCTGAGTTATACACATTTTTCTTTAAGACGTATGTTTTGAAACAAGAAATATGCATCTATCTCGTATATCATATACGCTTGTAAAATTTAAGAAATTCAATATACGCCCATTAGTGAAATTAACGACGATATTATACATAACATATAAATAACAGTAATGTTAGTCAGTCAGTTGAATATCGGAACCGTGCTGATCAGTCAAGCCCCAATAAATTTAAAATCTACAAGGAATAGAAATATTACTGAACAAACCTATTAATTTATACTTCAACCTACAATTTTGAATTGTCACTGTCACAATGTCACTCTAAAAAAAAAAAAAAATCTGTGACGGAAAAAAAGTTAACTTTTTGTACCTGTTGACAGGGGCAAAAATGTCACTTTTTCTCCCATGGGAAAAAAGTGATTTTTTTTTCCCACGGGATAAAAGTAACAGGTACCAGTCAAATTTTTTTCTCAAAGGGGATAATATATAGATGGGAAATGGTGAGATTTTCCCGTCAGAAAAAAATACTGTATTATACAGGGTGTTTGGTAGGTCGAGGAATATATTTTGGGAGGTGATAGAGTAAGTCATTTAGAACCTATTTAGTCAAACTTACCTCAGTACCAAGTCCTATGGTTTTCAAAATATGGCCGATTTAATTTTTTCTTAAAGGGGATGTGACCCAAAAAACAACTTTAGTTCATTAAATTAGGAAAAAATATCTAAGAACTCTCGTGAAAACCGCACTCTACTCAGAATAGTACCAGAGATAATCCCTCATGAAGATACCGGGCTTGAGCCTGGGCGACGTCACACCAGCGAATAGCCAGAAGTGGCAAACGAAGCCTATACCACAGATCACCTAATACAGATGCGTAAGTACGTATACTTGCCGTCGACGATATTCTGTGACGAAACCGGGCTGCCAGCAACCCCACGCATAGATAAAGATCGCCCGCGTCAGGACAATTAACGTGGCCGAGTGCGTGAGCATGTTCCAGCCTGTGTGTTTACATATATTTGCTGGTAGAAAAATAGTTATTTTTTATACAAGACGATAAAATGGTAGTTTATCGTTGACCGGAAAAGTTAATTCACGAGCGGAATCGCGAGTGAATTAATTCCGGGAGACGATAATGGCATTTTATCGTCGTGTGTTAAACAAAGTTTTTTTCCATATCCTAATTATGGACGCCTGTAGTATCGAAAATATTTAGAAATTATTTGAGTCGAATACTTTTGCATAAATAGAAATTCATTTGACAAACTTTGACAAAGAAATAAAAAACAAAATATGTATATATTTTTCACAAAATAAACGTTTTTATCTATCCTTGTGTTACGGGATGATTTTTCCTGGGTTAAAATGAAAGGAAATAAGCGTATTCGCCTCAATGAATAGCATACCTTCGTCAAGCCACTGTTATCTTTTCAATAGTTGTGGCCAAACTTTTCATCAAACTTTTCATTTTTCCCAGAATCATTAAGTTAGAGCGTTATTATTATTTATATATATTTATTAATGGAATTGATTTTCTGGTAGTAGGGTTAAAATAAATAGACAATTAATTTATTAATAAAACAAAATCACAATATTTACACTAGAACAGCTGATTGTCTGATCGGAGTAGATTGTCTAGATTGACAGCGCTCCAAATAGGGTCAATGACCGGTACTAACTTAATCTGAATAAGTCCCATGCCCCAACTACCATCAAAATTTCCCAGTACCTTCCACCTTGGAGTTTTGACAGAATCTTTTTAAAGGACATTGCAGGGACAAGCAGAGGTCATTCAGGTCGAGGACTTTCCACGATTAAGTGTTCGGGAAAATTCCTCAGGCACATTTTGCCGATTTTCTGAGTTGTCTAGTTTTCGGTCATAGATCTGTGTCTAATCCGCTATTTTAGCACCCAATCGCCTTGTGCAGATTTTTTTGTGAGTCGAAAAAGAGCAACGTGGTCAATTGTTTGTTCCTAAATGCCAAAGTAATTTGACATTTAGGTTTTTCTTATTAATCTTCTCTGTGTTTCTCTATTTCCTATGTAAAATCATAGTTTTCTGTTAATTATACGGTTAAATTCCGAATATCGGACATACCTACCTCTATTGCTCCATGCCCTGTCTCATTTGTTTCAGGCCTTTAATCTTCACTCTTAGACGTTACGCTTTAATCGTCACCTTTTATTCGTTAGTCCTTAACTTGAGTAAAGAGTTAAACGTTGAGCTTACTGTGTGTTTCAAGTAATACCTCCAATCTTCAGCCTCCTCTGGACCATTGGAAGCTTTTCGACTCCTAGTTACTGAACTTCAGTGCCCAGGGCCAGTGGCTTCTTGTGGCGGCCTTGATCCAGACCCAGGCCATCGGAAACACTGGAAGATATTAATCCCATCCGTAAGGTTCCCCCAAGAGTTTAGGGACTACTCAGGTTTGATAAGTGTGTTGTGTTGTCGTAATATCAAACCTTACCAACCCATTGTTGAAGTAAATCACCACAACAACGCAGTTCTACAACAATACTAAATTATCCTCCAGATTATGTGTTTTCATTTCAATTTCTAATTAATTCTCTATATTACCTTTTTTTTTGTTTATGAAACTTGCCCTTCAGGTTATGTATTGTTAAGTACTTCAATTTTATTAGGTATTTAGGTATCTATACTACCTAGATTGTTACATAATATTAAAGCCCTTCAGGTTACGTATTGTTGCTTCAACTTTTATTAATGCTGCACTGAATACAGGTAGATACTTGTACACTGGGGTTAAATGGCCATTTACGAAGGTACTGCATTTAGTGAGCTTGTCCATTAATTATTTATATTTCAGGTATTATTGCTTAATTTATTGTAAATACTATTTTTAGAGTATATAAGGTAGTGCCTAACCTAGTTTCTAGGCGATTTTCTTTCTTCTCCGAACCTGATCTGGAGTCAGACCTATTCTGTTCTGGTGCTAATTAAAAACCCGTACCTGATTGTAGCAAAGCGTTTCACTTTTGTCCTTCCTTCTTGCTTACGTTTATATTTCAGGTTGTGCTGCTATAGTTCCGTAGAAGTTTCCTGCTTTCGTTATATCAGTTGATTTCGTGTACTGCAGGGAAAAAGCAGGTGGCGCTCTATATTTAGCTATTTAATTAACCCTCCTCCTCTCCGTATTGGAAGCTAGTCGGCAACCCTTTACACGAAATCACGTTCAAGATTTCAGCCACCAACCAACCCTCTCTCTTCCCTTTTTATTTTTTTTTCTTTTTAGTTACCCATTAACTTTCCCACCTCCTCAAAATCTTAATATTGACTTCTCCGTTACGTTTTGCGGGTAACAAAGTGGCAGTGTCCGTTTTGCCACGTAATACTTGCTGTCAAAGTAACATTTAATCTACCCTTACGGTTAAAGTACTACTTTATCTACTATTTTTATTAGATTAAAGGCTACTTTACCAGTAGCTATGGAAAAAAATATTTTTTTGCTGTTTGTGAACCAATTAAAGAAATAATATTATATTAATGAGCTTCCGCATTTATATAATAAATATGTTCAAAATACATTGATGTGGCATTGGTGCGGCCAGCCTATGTCTATCAAATTAATCTTGAACCACGAATTCGCCGCTCTTTCGCATCTGTATGTAGGTAATCTGTGGTTATGTGTAGTGAAAGTATTTCTCCAATTTACCCTGAGATATTTGAGCTGAATGAAAATAAAACCCCTAGTCTACAACGATTGCAGTTATTGAATCATTCCTGAACCCCAGATAACACAGAAATGGCCAAACCTGTTACATGTTTTACACTGTCATCTATACGCTGGACCTCTTGGACCATGAAAATATCCAGAATTGCCACACTGTTTCGTATCAACTCTATTTTCTGAGTTTTTTGCAGATCTAAGTATTTCCATTTTGATTTCGGGTCTAATGTTGATCTTTCTGTGAACCAAAGTCTCTGTACTTACTCGATTTTTGTATTTTCTTCACAATATTAGATAACATTTTTCTCAATGTCTAACTTTTTTGATTTTCGAGTTCAGCTAACTCTGACGCTCTACAGATATTCACACATCAACAGACAATTTTGTCTAACTTAAACTATCTCTTGGATTTCCATAATCACAGTTTTGACTTAACTTTTTTAAGTCATAAACATATCAATAAACATTTTCACCTTGTCATTGCTTTCTAATATGAAATAGGTAGGTGTCGATAAACAGTCTCATTTTCTTTTGGTTAAAAATGTAGTTCAAAAAGCTGTAGTAATTTTTTTTAGTCTTTCTTTTCATCATCAGGTATCTCTAGAGCGTCATAGATTTCTACTACTGTAGCAAAATAGCGGCTTACCTTTGTACTATCCTTTAAACCAGAAGCATCCATTTAAATGGTAAATTGTTGTTAAAATTTTTTAAAATTCGTGGGGATATCACTCCCAAGAAACATTTCTTTGGGTTGTCGCCAACTTTCCATTCTTATTTTAATTAAAAAAAGTGGGATTAAGAACGAATTCTACTTTTACTACGAAATCTCCGCACTTCACGTATAATTATTAAAAAAAACATGAAGCAAAATTTCCTAATAATTTTTGGCAAATACCTGTAAATAAAAAACAGCAAGTAGGTACTTATAAGTATAGGCAGGCACTTAGAGTAGGTATTTATTTTGTTTTATGATAATATTATGATCTAATGGGGGATCCCCAAAAATTGAGAAATATAAGTACTTTGGAAGATGAGTATTTTAATTATTTAAATAGTTATTAACAAACATAATATAGAGATTTTGTTGTTAGGAAATCTTGACAATTTGAGAAACAAAATAAATTATTGTTATGAGTTTTATTATTCACTGAAAATTATATTGTATGTTGAAAGAAATTAGATATTTCCATTTCTGGATTTTTAAACTGCGGCACAAATAGCAAATTCTGCCACATCCTTTGCAGCCTGTTCTCCAGAATGCTTCAATTCCTCCACAGAACAATCCTCCAAATGAGGGAGCAAGTCCGTAACCAACTCCGTAACTTGAGTAACATCGGCTAATATTTTCGCTGGTGCGTCTTTAGTATCTTTTTCAATTCTCTCGAGAATTTTTGCATAGCATTTCGCTTGCTTCCAAGCGTTTCCGTGACAATTGTCAATATCAGCATCGATAGTGTTGAGATCTTGCTCGATTGCTTTGGATCTGTTCAGTGCATCATTAACCAAATCTTGAGCTTTCGATATTTGTTTGTTGATACATTCAATTAGGTCCTGGGCAAGGGTGTTGGGTGTTTGGGAAAAATCGTCCACGTAATTTTGACATTTGGCAACATCAAAACCTGGAAGAAATTATTTATTTGTTAGTTTTATTTGCTTTCTTAAAAGTGTAATGAAATTTCAATGTATACTACTAGGTACATCAACGATTCATTTTTATTTATGAGCTTGATAAATGCTATTATTCAAGAAACATTTTTAGCGACCAGAACGGAAGTTATATTCAAATTTCTAAACTTGTCTTGTTAAAAAAAAAACTTATAAATGCACGTTTACTTATCATTTTCTTCCTGACAACAACCTAATCTAGCAGCTTTAGGATCTATCATTTATATACTGATGAGAATTTGATGAGCTGCAGCTGAAATGATTTTTTATCAAGCTGCTTGTGATTTTAACATGTGATGTGTTTATGTAAAGTTACAACGTCATTAGACTTTAGCAAAAAAATGATTCCGGTTGAAAGTTGATTTTTGACTTCCAGCGGATGATTGTAACAATCAAAATGTCTTTTATTGAGAGCCAGCAACGCTGTAAATTTCTTACAAGGAGATATTTTAGAAGGAGACTAGTGAATATTGATTTAATCGCCTGAAAATGTGAAAAATGTCGTTAGTCTGATTTCAATGAAAAATGGACGTTTTCCAAAATAATATATCCGGACACAAAAAAAAAGTTATTGCTGAAGGGTATCTTTTTTGCGTTGACAACGAAAAATCAGTCTTAGGAGAAATTATTACTCCTTTATATCTGAACAGTACTTACCTTTGGCTTTAGCTTTAGCAACTAAGTCATCCAATTTCTCTCTAAGTGGTTTTAAAACCTTGTCCAGTTCAGCGCTTGCTTTACCCTCTAATTCTGTTGCTTTAGCTTTAACTTTGTCTAAGGCCTTATTGAGAGCGTCCTGAGCTTGGGTTAAAACTCTGTCTATTTCTGCCATAAGACTATGGAATGCTTTTTTGACGTCATCTTTGGTGGATGCCTCTGCACCAAATGGCTAAACAAAAAAGTTATGAAATCAACAAAAACATTTCCACTCTAATAAATTAATATTTGTAGGCGCCAGTTCTGGATCAAAGACAATAACAAAATTTTCTTTAGAATCAATTTCCTGACGTGTCGCTTCAATATCATTCACATTATTGAGGCTTGAGAAAACGAGAAAGCTATAATGAAAATACTTCATAAAGTTTCTGGAATAAAATGTCATTTTTACTTAGACCTTACACTGTACTGGCCAATTTTTAAAAAAAAAGCTTTCTCTCATCTTAGTGAATAGTTGCAAAGAGCAGGTTCTTAGACCTGAGGACGCTTTAGGTACTAGCAGAAACACATGTCGTCGCCGTTACTATAACTTTTTTTTCTTTGGATTATTCTGCTCCCCACTGCGGCTTTAACCAATGAACCTTCTTCTTGGATATTGTTACGTGTAGAAATCATAGAAAACTAATTTAGAAGTATCTATCTAATTTATTGTTTTATATACAATTATGCAGTCAATAAAAAGAGGTCTTCATAAGGACGGCAGTAAATGGTCAAAATATCGAAACATACATAAAGGAGACTTTTTGTGTTTTTTATTTTTCTTAAATTAAACTCATATTTAACTCACCTGATAAAGCACTACTAACGTCACAACGGTAAAAGCTAATAATTTGAACATTTTTCGTTCGAATCAAACTGCTTGACGTATTAACAAGCTGAGTTTACAGGCATCAATATTTATATAAAAAACGGCCTTTCTCATAACGGGGATTTTCTCTTATCAGCTATTGCTCCAAATCGTGATCGGGTAAACAATACTGATTACCGAGAAGGATAATTTTTTTTCTTATTTTTAATCTTAAAGTGCTTTCACAATAATAATTTTCAAACATGTATACAATAGGCCTATCATTTACGTTGGCAGAAGGCAAAAGACCCCGCTTTAAGCTTATGGATCAAGAACCGATCGTTAGTACCCAAACAGCCCTATGAAATTGTACCCTCGAGGAGCTTAGTTTCCATAGGTCTAGGTTTGGGGCTTTGAATGGGGCTTCTACAGTATGACATTCACCTTAGGATCTCAGTCGAACTGTAGCAAGTCACACTCAACTTTGAGAGAAAGTCTTTTGGCCTGTACCCTCGAGGAGCTTAAGGCTGTGGAGACTAACCTGTGCTCGATTGCATTGCGGTGCACGTAATTTATACAAGAATTATTGCTACCGTCAGCAGAGTCAGTTAATTTTCTGTAGTACGAGCGCCAAGTTCACTTTATTTTAGTATATTCTAGTAGTGGGTCTATAGACATTTATGAATTGACATGCCCCCCCTGTAAAACCATTGGTCCCCAATGCCAGTGAGAGAACATCATGTGTTTACAATTCAAAAAACTTAAAATTCTTAAAATTACAGCTTCTTCTTCGTTCGGCTTCGTCAACTGGTTTGGTCTGTTGTATAGTATTTGTAGTACCCATTTAGAATAACCTCATCCTTATTTATCAATCACGAATCCGATGAAACAAAAAATTACCAACAAAAACGAATGTCGATTGCTAATACGTCAATTTCATGTACAAATAGGAAATTCCTAACCTACTTTTATTTGTGTGTCAAGAAGCGACATACGTTTTGTCACTAAAACGACAGGTACTTCTAAATGGGTATTAAAAATTCTATAGTATGTAAGTTATTGGATTCTGTGTATGCCAACTTGTTTGTGGGCAGTGACTCGTGGAAGTGGTAGTACTTTATCGGCTGTCCCACTGGCTTGTGGGTAGTGGTGGTGACTTATAGACTGTTCTAGTGGTTTTATGGGGTATCCCGCTGGTTGGTGAACAGTCCCATGCATTGTATAATTGTTCCACTGGCTTGTGGACTATGGCTTAAGGACATACCTAGTGGCTTATGGGTTGTTCCACTGGTTGGTGAACAGTCCTATGGTTTGCTTAATTGTCCCACTGACTTGTAGAAAGTCGTATGGCTCAAGGACATAGTGGCTTATGCGTTTTCTCACTGGTTGGAGGACAGTCGTATGGCTCAAGGACATAGTGGCTTATGGGTTGTCCCACTGGTTGGTGGATAGTTCTATGGTTTGTTTAATTGTTGACAGACGAAGTTTTATTTTCTATAATTTTGTACACTTCTTTCGGATATTTTGTTACCGCACAGTTGTAAATAAAATACTATATATAAAACGTATAGTAATTAGGTTATTACCGCCCTTAGAGATTTCTCTCGCCTACGGTAATAACCTACTTACCACTCTTATCATATGATATACTATTATTTTCCAACACCGAAAACGTACCAGAACCTTACAACAAACGTTAACAACCCCCTTTTCCCATTTCTGGTTTTCTATGACTGAATCTAACTCTCTATTTACAAAATCTAACCAGCACAGCGTGCGGAATAATTGATTTTCCAGGTAAGTTAGTAGTGCCCCACATAACAAAATTGCATCCTTAGAATGTATTAAGAATGTTCTTTTTTCAGGAGGAATGTGCCTAGAATGTTCGCCAAAACCATTGCGAATGTCCTGAGAATGTTCTGAGAAAAGATTGTAGAAATACTTTTTGCAATACCCAAGAACTTCCTGAGAAATCCATTAGGATATTCCTAGAATATACCTATGAGATTCTCAGTACATCCTGAAAAGAATATTCTTGTTTGATTCTAAAAATATGCTCGATATGTATAAGTATTCTCACATTCAAAGAATGTTTCTATGACATTATAGTTATGTTCTCAAAAGAATATTATACCAATATGCTTGAAATATTCTTAGAATATATCTACATTTATATCATTCTCAATATGCATCCTAGACATAACATTCTTGGTTGATTCTAAGGATATACTTGGAATGTTAATTTTCGTTTCCAAATAATGCTCCTTTCAGCTCTTTTATATTAAAGGAAGTGAAAGAGTTGTTGGAAACCTTCTCTGGAAAACACAAGTATTTAACCAAAGCTCCGGTTTCGAGCTTGTTATGCTCTCGTCGAAGCACGCCAACTGAGAGAAACAGGTTCCAAGGTGATTCAAACGCGAGGTAAGATGTAGATCTTTAATAGCACGTGGCTCCCTCTCTTGGAAGTCCTACAAAACAAAAGGAAAAGAATATACCTATATTATTCTTAGTAGGTTCTAGATAGAGCATTATTGTTTAATTGTTAAATTATGATTTTTGAGTAGGTACTTCAGATAATTAGGTGAACAATATGAAAATATTCTTATCATGGTAACCTACCTACATGAACTTCTCAGCAGAACTTGGTAGGTATATTCTTAATACTTGATAGAGATATTAGCCGAAAGAACATTTTTTAGGGTACATTATAATAATGTTCGTATTCAAAAGTTTGTTATATAAAGTAGGTTCTTAGCACAATCTTTCAGGTAGGTGCATAGAAGCAGCATTCCTAGTACATAAATAGAACGTTCAAAAATGAATATTTCAATCGAAACAATCTTAGAATATTCATTAAACATTCCTAAAAGAACATTCCAAAAACCACTTTGAGGGAATATTCTGAGAATATGAATGTTCTTTCATTGTTATGTGGGGCGTTTTTATTAGCTTTCTAGAGCAGTCGTAGAAAAAATATTTTATGACATTAATAGACAATTTTTCAAATTTCACAGTGGTGTACTTATTAGAAAATAAGAGCCAGGCATATGAAAAAATATGTGAATATGTGAACAAGGTTGAATCAAAAATTAATAGAAAAATTTCAAAATTGCGTTGTGATAATGAAGGACAGTATAAGTCGAAAGGGGTAACAGATTTTTGTGAGAAAAAGGAGATAACTTTTGACTATAGTGTGCCATATACCCTACAGTATAATGGGAAGGCCGAAAGAAAAAATAGAAGCTTAGTGGAAAGAAGTAGGGCTATGTTGGATGACGCAGGTATGCCTAAAGAGTTTTGGGGAGAAGCAATCTCAACAGCAAACTATTTAATGAATAGGGGAATAACAGCAAATTTAAAGAGTATCATACCAGCTGAGGTATGGTATGGGGTAAAACCAGATGTAAAAAACTTTAGAATATTTGGGTGCATGGCTTATAGTTCGATTCCAAAACAATTCAGGGAGAAACTTGACTCTAAAACTAAACATTGTATTATGTTGGGGTACTCACCAACTGGTTATTGGCTAAGGGATATTGCAGGTAACAAATTTATTTTATCGAGAGGAGAAGTAGAGTTCGATGAAGATAAATTTCATTACAAGAATAGGTTAGTAGACACAGGTGGGAAAAACAGGAAAACTTAGATAAAGGTGAGAAAAACTAAGATGAGGATGAAATAGAAGAGCAGTTTGATTTGGGATACGAGAATAAGATTTCAGATAGAAATATAAGATCAAATGAGCGACATATAAAAATGACATCCAGGTATAGATACTATGAATTATTTATGGCATTTGGTGCAGGGATATTTGTGAATGATGTTCCTAAATGTTTTTCAGAATTAAAAATTTAAAAGATAGAGCTGATAAAAATTACTGGTTAGATTCTGTAAATAGAGAGTTAGATTCAGTCACAGAAAACCAGAAATGGGAAGAGGGGGTTGTTAACGTTTGTGGTAAAGTTCTGGTACGTTTTCGGTGTTGGAAAATAAAAGTATATCATATGATAAGAGTGGCAAGTAGGTTATTACCGTAGGCGAGAGAAATCTCTAAGGGCGGTGATAACCTAATTACTATACGTAGTATATATAGTAATTTAGAAAATTTTGGATTAATTTTCTTTGCTTTTCCATCCATAGACGCGTTTCGACCTATATCAGGTCTCATCAGTATGGCTACGAAAAGCAAAGAAAACCAATCCAAGTTTTGTGCATGTATGCAAAATAGAAGTAGTAAGACGGTCGAAATTTGATCGTGGCGCCATACTGATGAGACCTGATATAGGTCGAAACGCGTCTATGGATGGAAAAGCAAAGAAAATTAATCCAAAATTTTCTAATCAGTGTATAATAAGGAGAAATCTTTTTTTCCTATTTTGGGTTTTCCCGACGAACTGATTTTTGATCGGCCTTTTAGATGGCATCACTAATTACCGCAAAAATTGCTGTTTAGTGTTGAAACCTTGTCTTAGATGGCGCCACGATCAAATTTCGACCGTCTTTTTATAGTAATTTATCTACAACTGTGCGGTAACAAAATATCCGAAAGAAGTGTACAAAATTATAGAAAATAAAAATGCGTCTGTCAACAATTAAACAAACCATGGAACTATCCACCAACCAGTGGGACAACCCATAAGCCACTATGTCCTTGAGCCATACGACTGTCCACCAACCAGTGGGAAAAAGCATAAGCCACTATGTCCTTAAGCCATACGACTTTCTACAAGTCAGAACAAACCATAGGACTGCCCACCAACCAGTGGGACAACCCATAAGCTACTATGTCCTTGAGCCATACGAATGTCCACAAGCCAGTGGGACAATTAAACAAACCATAGGACTGTTCACCAACCAGTGGAACAACCCATAAGCCACTAGGTATGTCCTTAAGCCATATACGACTGTCCACAAGCCAGTGGGACAATTGTGCAATGCATGGGACTGTTCACCAACCAGCGAGATAGCCCATAAAACCACTAAAACAGTCTATAATTCACCACCACTACCGACAAGCCAGTGGGACAGCGATAAAGTACTACCACTTCCAACAAGTCACTGCCCACAAACAAGTTGGCATACACAGAATCCATTAACTTACATACCACAACAGACCAAACCAGGTGACGAAGCCAAACGAAGAAGAAGCTGTAATTTTAGGAATTTTAAGTTTTTTGAATTGTAAACACATGATGTTCTTTTACTGGCATTGGGGGCCAATGCTTTTACAGGGGGGGCATGTCAACTCATAAATGTCTACAGACTACAGACCCACTAGAATATACTAAAATAAAGTGAATTTGGCGCTCGTACTACAGAAAATTAAATGACTCTGCTGACGGTAGCAATAATTCTTGTATAAATTAGGTGCACCGCAATGCAATCGAGCACAGGTTAGTCTCCACAGCCTTAAGCTCCTCGAGGCTACAGGCCAAAAGACTTACTCTCAAAGTTGAGTGTGACTTGCTACAGTTCGACTGCGATCCTAAGGTGAATGTCATACTGTAGAAGCCCCATTCAAAGCCCCAAACCTAGACCTATTGAAACTAAGCTCCTCGAGGGTACATTTTCATAGGGCTGTTTGGGTACTAACGATCGGTTCTTGATCCATAAGATTAAAGCGGGGTCTTTTGCCTTCTGCCAACGTAAATGATAGGCCTATTGTATACATGTTTGAATAGTATTTTACATTATTAGCCAGGTAAAACAGTTTTTACTGGCGATTGAAGGAAATGACTAGCGAGCGGCCAGGCGAGCTTGTCACCTTCAAGAGCCAGTAAAAACTGCTACCTGGCGTATAATGTACAATAATTTATTTGTTACTCATTTGTAAAAGATATAGGGACAAATAAAAAATCAATACATAACAAAAATTTGAAATTTATATGTTTTTCCTTGATTTTTTCTCACAGAAGTTTTGGTAGTTGGTATAACTATGAGAATGATACGTTGTTAAGACGTTGTTTCTAGTTATAAATAGGTTTTTTGACAGATTTCCATTTTTCAATTTTTTTCCAGAAATGAATTTATTACAAGATATTATTAATGAAGCCTCAGTCGTAGCCAACAGTTTATCACCAGAAAAGTCTCCCAGAAGGTACCTACAAGCAATTATTCTTGTGATAAAACCGATTTTTCAAAAATAAATAATTCTACTGACTTGTAAAAAGTTTTTACAGTTTAGCTGTCAATTTTACAAGTCAGTAGAGCCAGTAGCTTGTAAAAATCAATTTTCGCTGGTTATGTTATGACTTGATAAGTGACGTTTTACAAATGAGTGACAAATAAAATTATTATTGCATATTGTGGAAGCACTTTAAGATTAAAAATTAGGAAAAATTATCCTTCTGGGTAATCAGTATTGTTTACACGATCACGATTTGGAGCAATAGCTGATATAAGAGAAAATCCCCGTTATAAGAAGGGCCGTTTTTTATATAAATATCGATGCCTGTAAACTCAGCTTGTTAATACCTCAAGCAGTTTAATTCGAAGGAAAAATGTTCAAATTATTAGCTTTTACCGTTGTGACGTTAGTAGTGCTTTATCAGGTGAGTTAAAGATGAGTTTGATTTATTAAAAATAAAAAACAAAAAAGTCTTCTTTCATGTATTTTCCGATATTTTGACCATTTACTGCCGTCCTTATGAGGACTTCTTTTCATTGACTGCATAATTTTATGAAACAATAAATTAGGTAGGTAGGTATTTACTTCTAAATTATTATTTTTTTAATGATTTCTACATAGGTAAGATACAATATTCAAGAAGAAGGTTCATTGGTTAAAGCCGCAGTGGAGAGCAGAATAATTTAAAAAAAGTTATAGTAACCGCGACGACATGTGTTTCTGCTAGTCTAAGGTCTAAAAACCTGCTCCTTGTAACTATTCACTATGAGAGGGAAATTTTTTAAAAAAATTAGTGTACTATTTAGTCTAAGGTCTAAAAATGACATTTTACTTCAGAAACTATATATGAAGTATTTTTATGATGTTGAAGCGAAACGTCGGGAAATTTATTTTAAAGAAGATTTTTTGTTTGTCTTTTATCCAGAACTGGCACCTACAAATATTAATTTACTAGAGTGAAAATGTTTTTGTTGATTCCATACGTTTTTTTTTAGCTATTTGGTGCAGAAGCATCTACCAAAGATGACGTGAAAAAAGCATTCCATAGTCTTATGGCAGAAATAGACAGAGTTTTAACCCAAGCTCAGGACGCTCTCATAAGGCCTTAGATAAAGTTAAAGCTAAAGCAACAGAATTATAGGGTAAAGCAAGCGCTGAACTTGACAAGGTTTTAAAACCACTCAGAGAGAAATTGGATGACTTAGTTGACAAAGCTAAAGCCAAAGGTAAGTACTGTTAAGATATAAACGAGTAATAATTTCTCTTAAGACTGATTTTTCGTTGTTAACGCAAGAAAGTTACCCTTCAGCAAAAACTTTTTTTTTTATCCGAATATATTCTTTTGGAAAACGTCCATTTTTCATTGGAATCAGACTAACGACACTTTTCACATTTTCAGGCGATTAAATCAATATTCACTAGTCTCCTAAAATATCTCTTTGTAAGATATTTACAGCTTTGCTGGACTATCAATAAAAGACATTTTGACTTTCAACCGGAATCCTTTTTTTGCTAAACTCTAATGACGTTGTAACTTTACATAAACACATCACATGTTAAAATCACAAGCAGCTTGATAAAAAATCATTTCAGCTTCAGCTCATCAAATTCTCATCAGTATATAAACGATGGATCCTAAAGCTGCTAGATTAGGGTGTTGTCAGGAAGAAAATGATAAGTAAACGTGCATTTAGAAGTTTTTTTTAAGAAGACAATTTTAGAAATTTGAATATAACTTCAGTTCTGGTCGCTAAAAATGTTTCTTGAATAATAGCATTCATCAAGCTCATAAATGAAAATGAATCGTTGATGTACCTAGTAGTATACATTGAAATTTCATTACGCTTTTAATAAAGAAAATAAAACTAACAAAGAAATAATTTCTTCCAGGTTTTGATGTTGCCAAATGTCAAAATTACGTGGACGATTTTTCCCAAACACCCAACACCCTTGCCCAGGACCTAATTGAGTGTACTAACAAACAAATATCGAAAGCTCAAGATTTGGTCAATGATGCACTGAACAGATCCAAAGCAATCGAGCAAGATCTCAACACTATCGACGCTGATATTGATAACTGTCACGGAAACGCTTGGAAGCAAGCGAAATGCTATGCAAATATTCTCGAGAGAATTGAAAAAGATACTAAAGACGCACCAGCGAAAATATTAGCCGATGTTACTCAAGTTACGGAGTTGGTTACGGACTTGCTCCCTCATTTGGAGGATTGTTCTGTGGAGGAATTGAAGCATTCTGGAGAACAGGCTGCAAAGGATGTGGCAGAATTTGCTATTTGTGCCGCAGTTTAAAAATCCAGAAATGGAAACATCTAATTTCTTTCAACATACAATATAATTTTCAGTGAATAATAAAACTCATAACAATAATTTATTTTGTTTCTCAAATTGTCAAGATTTCCTAACAACAAAATCTCTATTAAATAAATAAAATACTCATCTTCAAAAGTATCTACCTAAGTAGGTAGGTACCTATATTTTTCAATTTCTTGGGGATCCCAGCATTAGATCATAATATTATCATAAAACAAAATAAATACCTACTCTAAGTGCCTACCTATACTTATCTTGCTCTTTGTTATTTACAGATATTTGTCCAAAAATTATTAGGAAATTTTGCTCTAGAAAGCTAATAAAAACGCACTACTAACTTACCTGGAAAATCAATTATTCCGCACAGCGTGCGAAAAGTAACTTTTCACACGATTTTGCGTGTGAAAAGTATTTTTCCTACAGCCGTGCGGAAAAATCGATTTTCCGCACTGATATGCGTGCGGAAAATGAGTTTTCCCGCACGGTGCGGTAAAACTTTTACCGCACGCATATCAGTGCGGAAAAAGTTTTTCCGCACGGCTGTCAGTGCGGAAAAAATTTTACCGCACTGATATGTCAAAAAAAAAAAATAAAAAATTTACATTTTTTCGCCTGTAGGAAAAATATTGTACCTAACACTTGCGGAAAATATTTTTCCGCACGCGGCTGCCGTTCACCGAACGACGCGTAGCGGAGTTCGGTGATGCAGCCGATGAAAAATTCATTTTCCGCACTTGTTAGGTAAATAGCTATTTCACAAGCTAAAATAAAAATGACCCTTTTAAAGGCCGTTTTACACCTTGCAATTTCACCTGTTTCCTTCTCTAACCTTAACCATACTTTTTTGTTTTTAATTTTGTGTTGTTGATGTTTGCATTTTCCAAAAATGAAAAAACTGATTATAAGTCGGTATAAAAATAAGAAAGCAATAGCCTCCACTTTAAACATCATAATTGCTAAAAATTCCCCAGCTTGCGCGAAAACTTTCAAGAAAAAAGGCACCAAACCGATTGCATGCAATGCCATTCAAGTTTCAAGAATCTTGCAGAAAACAATCAACTGACTCACTTCTGCGCATGCCCTCGTTCATGTTTCTTGCATATTGCAGATAGAATTGCAAGCTGTAAAACGGCCTTAATGAATTTTTGTTTTGCAAGTAACTCTGAGTGCATTCAACATACGTACCAAAATGGTTCGTGGATGATAACCCTAAATAATAATTTGAAAAAAAAATAAAAATTAAATCTCAATGTGAATACATATAGTTATTTCGCAGTCGTAGAAAAAGTATAGTGTGTAACTCGTGTGAAAAGCACATTTCACACTCGTGCGGTTTCTGCCACTCGCCTGCGGCTCGTGTCATCAAACATCCCCACGCGTGTGAAAAGTGCTATTTTCAACACTTGTTGCACAATTTACTATTATCTATGCGGTAACTTAGGTATATTACACGGTGTGCGGTAATAATATTACCGCACGCTCTATCTACATAGGTAAGTACCTTCAATTACCTATCTATCACCTAAATTATACTTGTTCACTTTCAAAGGTGACGCAATTTTTTTTTATAATTTTTTAAACTTCTCTCGGATATTTTGTTACCGCACGGTTGTAGATAAAATCCTGTATAATACGTATAGTAATTAGGTTATTACCGCCCTTAGAGGGTGCCCTTATTATATAATATACCATTTTTTTCCATCGAAAGAAGTGGGGCTTATTGGTTTACACAGATCCGTATGAATTATATCTAAAATGCTATTGCTTTTTGTACGTGTCCCAAATGGTATTCTTGATAACTTTCCCCAAACACAAGATTCACTAAACTCAACATTTTGTACTTTTAAGTTTTCCCCAATACCGTATAACATCCCTGATTTAGACTCGAATTAACAAAATGAAATCTCATACAGATTATTTCTCTTTCCTAACCCAACAACACAACATTGTTACGTTTATCTAATAATTTTACTCCACCTCTTTCAAACAGTACCCTAATGTCACCCATCTCTAGCTTTTTCACTGATAAAAAAATTCTGCGTAAGTTAGATACGTTAAATACATTTTTGATGCAACATTTCATCTTCTCTTGGTTTACACATAATATATATTATATACTTGTATGTCACCCAACACCAATGGCCAATAAACTATAGTATTCTTAGCAACTACAATTTTTATCGACTCTTCAAGCATAAGTAAGTTTTGCAAAAAAAAATAAATTATTAACCATATGGTCGGGGCAACCCGAGTCTATATAAAAACTCAACGTATCAATATTTCTGTTCCCTGTTATATTTTAATTTCTATGAAACAAATACTTTTATCAAATGAACAGTGAACAGCCATTCTGATTTTCTACATTATTTCTCTCACCTCGACTATATTTTCACTTGTATTTTCACTATTACTTTCTGCATGATATTGACACACCTTCTCTGTGACGGGGGGTGTAGATAGATAGATAGATGGAGAGAAACTCTGTTTTTATATAAAAAGGTGTATATTTGCTGAGAAGTAATTACGTGAATCCTCCAGGATACAAGCTCTTCCGCCACACGTCTGACGCTACTTAGGAAGGAATGTCTGTTTAATACTAATGCTACGTAGAAAGTTGATCGTCGTTTAACTAATCCTTATCTAGAGCACTAGATGACGATACATTTTCCCAGCGGGGCTTTCCCAGGTTGGCGGTACTTGCACTGGTTCAAGTCTGCCTGTTGCTTGGCTTGGCCCCCATTTTATTGCTGAATTGCAATAAACATCCGATCGAATTGGCGATTAAATTAATAAGGTTGAATACCGGGTCCTCCCTTCCTAAGTAATAAGTTGACATATGCCCCCCCTCCATGAAGCATTGGACCCCAATGCTTGGAAGAGACATTTAAAAAGAATACCATAATAATGTCGGGTCAGGGTGCATTATTATTCAGGTTACTACAAAAAAAAATATCTTATACCTAAAAAAATTCATCAATTTTACCGCTTCAGCCATGGGGTTTTTTTCTTTAGGTCCGGTCCTGTTTTCTGTATTGTGGGTCTGTTCTGGTTCCAAATACTTCTTGGTGGGTCAGCTAGTGTCGTTGCTTGGTTCTTGGTTTGCTTTGTATTCTGTTCTCTTCTCTTCTGTAGCGGATTGGTTCTAACTCCAGGTACCTTATGGTGATTTGGTCATCTGGGTCGTGGGCTTGCGCGGTCCCACGTCCCAAGTAATCCTTGATCATTTCCTTTGCGAATGTCGTGGAAATGGTACTGTGGTCTGTCTACTTTTGGTCCATACCCATTTGTTTCTTCTGGTTTGAAGTTCCTAGCCCCTACTCAGTCCAGAGGTAGATCCTTCTATTACAATGCCTTCCATCGAATTCGTTTTGTAGTCCGTCCCTGGCTGGTGGTTTTGTATATACATGCAAAAAAAAAAAAAAAACGTTTAATATATAAAAAAAATGTTTATTCCTATAATTAGTTTAATTATGACCCACATTCGGACCACCAAATTTCTCATCAATTCCTCATTTGTTGATCATGGCTCCAACCGGTAAGTTTAGTGTAACTTGTTTTTTGTATTCTAAGATCCCTTCGGCGGCTTCTATGGAGGGAATGTCCAGCCCTTCCGTCGGTAAAAGTTTTTCTGATTCTTCTTCTTTTATAGTAGGTACTTCATATTCTCTATCTTCCCTTAGAATTATGAGGTCATCCACTAATTTCCTTTTATATTGAGCTATCGTTCCTCTGCATCCCTCCTTGCATACTCTATTATTTATGTCTTACTTCATTTTTTATTATCTCTACTTCCTATTTCCCTACTTCATAGTTTTGCTTCTGTTTTATCTGTACAATCAGTCTTCTTCTTCCTCGTTTTCTGCTTCACTGCTTCCATTTTCCTCTTCAATTTTTTCTTTGTCTTCTTCATCCTCATCCACTTCAGATTCTGCGTCTTTAACTATATCTGTCTCCTCTGCCCTTTCTTCAATAGGCGCAGCTACTGTCCATAGATCGTAGTAGGGTAACATCCTACTCACGTGGACCGTATCCTTCTCCCATTTTTCTAATAACTTTGTATGGTCCAAACCATCTTAAGAGTAATTTTTCGCTTCTTCCAACCTTTCTAATTGGTATGAACACCTCAACTTTGACTCCAACTACGAAATCTAATTCTCTATGTCGTTCGTTAAAACGTCCCTTATCTTTTCCTTGTCTTTTTTGTATATTTTCTACTCTTATTAAGAGTGCCTTTTCTCTAATTTGCAGAGCGTCTGTTTCGTTTTCAGCGTCCAACAATGCAGCTTCTGCTGGTAGTGTTGCATATGTTAGCATAAATGGGCTAAATCTCGTTGTGTCCTGTATTGCTGTATTATAGGCAAATGTTATAAATGGTAGATAGCTACACCATTCTGTTTGCTGTGTGTTACAATACATGAATAACATGTCAGCTATTGTCTTATTTAGCCTTTCAGTGAAACCATTACAACAAGGATGGTATGCGGTTGTAAACTGGCTTCTCACTTCACACCCATCAATTTTCCTAATTCCCTTACTAATGCCGATTGAAAGACTTTTCCTCTGTCGCTGAGCAGATTTCTTGGCATCCCGTGTATCAAGAATACTTTTTCCAATAAAAAATTTGCAACTGGTCCGGCTTTTCCATTCGGTAGGGCGGCTGTGATGGCATATCGTGAGGCGTAATCGGTAACTACAACTATCATTGTTTTCCCTTTACTGCTTCTTCTAAATGGGCCTAAAAGATTAATTCCGATTTTGTCGAAAATTGTTCCCGGTATTGGTTGTAACATCCCTGGCGTTTTTCTGATGTAAGGTTGCCTCTTTCTAGCTTGGCAATCTGAGCATCCTTTAACGTATTTTTCGATGTCCTTTAGCATTCCGACCCAAAAAAATCTGTTTTTAAATTTGGCCGTTGTTTTGCTCAGTCCCATGTGTCCATTTGTCGGTGATGCATGTAGCTCCCACATAATTTCTTCTCTCATTGATTTTGGTACTACTAATACTTTTTCTAAGCCGTTTTTTGTCTTATTTATTTTATAGAGTAAGTCTTTTTCAATCCTAAAATTTTCTGCTCTTTTTCTGATGCAAATATTAATTTCTGGGTCGTCTGGGTTTCTTATAGCTTTGATATTTGTTTTAGACTTGGTTCTTTTTTCTATAATGTAGCCGTTTGCACTGATTTTAATGTGAATGTGGGGAGCTCCTTTGCTTTTTCCTGGGATTCTGGTTGAAGCACTGGATTGCGGGACATACAGTCGGCGTCGCTATGTGTTGAGCCTTTTTTATATACAACAGTGTAATCGAATTC